AGTTTCTGCGTGCTTTATCTTCTAACTTGTAAACCTCTCCATAATGTACATATGAGGGTTTACTTGACCTGGTAAAAGTTATATAGTCCAAAACCCCCGACAGATGTAAAGCATATTATTGCTATGTCTGAAAGTAACTACACTATCAAAGATTTAAATAAGCCTCTTATTTAAAAAGAACTTAGAACATAAAGGCATGTTCTGATGCTAACAAAATCAATTACAGCTCATGATAATGTAATTAAAGAAGAGTCAAATTCAAACTAATAATGTGACTAGCAGTCAAAGATTATACAATTTAATTTTAATTTAATCTGGCTCAGTAACTCTATGATATGAGGAAATAGAAATGGGAAATTATAGTAAAGGCTGAAATCTAAAAATTTGGGTAATTTACATAATAATAAAGAATATATCTTGAAGAATAACTTCTTTATGTACTCCGTTCTTCTTAAAAATGTCCTCTCATTTTAGACTTTTTGGATTTAATTAAGGGTTTTCTCTATTCTAAAAAACACTAAATGCATTTAGAATGTTCAGAAAGTTAATTTTATTTTAATAATACGAACATTCAGAAAAAATATGAAATATATGGTAAAAGGAGGTTACAGACTGATGTGAGAAATTTTTAGTAGTGACACACCAAACAAAATCTAGAATGGCAAAACTTTAGAATTAGAGCAAGCATTGGAAGCAAGAATTTCGAAAGGCACTAGGCAGCGAATTAGGATCCACAGATTGCTCAGGTGGGAAAATTGCTTGTGCCAGCTATGTGTATGATGCATTAAGACATATTAGATGATCTTTTAAATTGTAATTTTCAATTTCTTTATTAATTAAAAATTTCCTTTCTGTAATGCCTGCCATGTGATAAGATTAGAAGCATTTTGATATTTCCGCTTGTGTTAGGAAAAGTAGAAAAAACATGTAAGATTCTAGTATCATAAGAAAAACATTCAAATATTATGTTTTCGTTGGTTCTTCCAGACATTCTCCAAAAAGTAAGAACTTCTTGCAAACTTTGAAAAATACACCCGACATTTTGATACAATGGAGACATTTTCATTTTGTCACATATTTCTCAAATCTTCTAAATCAGGGCTATTAATCTTCCCTCCAAATCCTCTAACTTTCCAAGCTGCAAGTCTAATCCTAAAGAAAATTATCCATACCAATTCTGTAACGAAAAAGCCAGAAATTTTTGGGGAAAAAAGGAGGGAACGTGGTAAAAAAATTTAGACAAAACTGATGCATCTTCTGAGAATTTTGAATATTCTGAGAATGAGAAAAACTTTTACTATTAAAAAAATTAAAAAGAAGACTTTTTAATTAATTACATAGCTAATTTTGCTTTTGCTAAGAGCTGTTACGAAACTGTTTTTTTTTTTTTCCTTTCTGTATTATTTTTTATTTTCCAGATTCAAAATATTGTGTAATAAGTTGCCAAAATGAAACTTTATAATATGACAGCTAAAAATAAAAATGTTTTATTTTAATGTTATTTTAATATAATTTCAATATATTACCATTAGTTAATGAAATTAATCAATGTTATAATGTTTAAAAAAAAGCATCGAAAAATTCTCAGATCTCGAATTAAAAGATCATAAAATCGCCAAAAAATGTTGAAAGTTGCCAAATTAGAATCGTTTATAAAAATTTCACATCTCCAAAAGTGAAAAGTTGTTTAAGAGCTCTTATTATAAAAATGAATTTCAAAATGCGTTATGTTTCACTTCTTGCTTAGAAATCGATATCCCATCATTTAATTAGAATAGAAAAATTATAACTCATGAACCCATCAAAAGATACCATATACATACGTCAGTGAATCGCCAAAAATATTCTCCAAATTGCTAATTCACACACAAATGGCAGTCGTAAAAAAACAGAAATTTCAGATGATTAAAATTAAGGACCTTCTGCTGATTTTGGCCAAAATTAAGGACTTTTAAGGACCAAAAACCAATTCCAAAAAATCTAAGGACTCTTAAGGATCATATGAACCCTGTGCAAAACTCTTTAATTAGTAGTTGTCCAAATGCTTCTCATAAAAGCTCTTGGGAACTGAAACCTGTTTTCAAAAGAAACCAAGGTACTTGAAAATTGTTTATGTCTAAAATATAATTGGGATTTTATACTACATGCAACTGAATGATAGAAATTCACAGTTTGCAGTTTTTCTTGCTTGCATGAAAAGATAGTTGGGATGAAATGACTATTTCGTTCATTATCTCTCTCTTCTCTGTGTGTATATATATGCATGTATTTATTAAGTAGTTTTGGGATTATCTCTTAGGAAAAGAAATTACAAAAATTAATAAAATTAGCAAACATTAATAAAATGGCTAAGTAAAATTAATAAATGTCCATTTTTATGAAAAGATTCATTAAAATTCAAGAATTGTATATTGAAAGGTAACTTCATTAAAAGTAATATTTGAGCAAAATTAAAATACGAGCCACTTTTATTAAAATACAGTAAATAAAAGCAAAAACTGAAATAATTACTGTTATTAATAGGAAATTTATTGACTTTTCAAGGAGAACAAATCAATTTCCGAAAAAAAATCACTGTAATAAATGGAAGTGAATAAGTTTTGTTTTATTATGCTTTCTTCTTTGACTATTTCTTATTATGCAAGAAAACCAAATCATATCAAAAAATAAAGAAGTTTTAGGCACAAGTTTTAGGCTTTATAAGACCAATATTACCAAGTTTCATTATATATACATACAAGAGCACAAACACCAACAAGAGCCAAAAAAAAAAAAAAAAAGAGGGAAGGGAGAGTCATCATCAAATATAATATAATCAAATATAAAAGGCAGTATATCAATTAAAGAATGCCTGCTATAAGAATCATAGCAATGGATATCTGAATTATAATCAGTTATGTTAATGCTTGCATAAAAATTCACACACATAAACTGTATACCCGGACCTGCTCTTCCAAATTTGAATTTCTTTGCTCAACTCAAGAAGCACATTTATTTTGAACAACTGTCTGTAATTGAAGTATGCCGTTGACATAAAAGAAATAATTATATTTTTTCTTGCTTGCATAAAAAGATGGGATGACCCTATTTCATTCACCATATATAATATATATGTAAGATATAAAATATCAATGACAATAACTATCAAATTGATAACTTAATTGGCAATAACCCCTTTAATTTCTGATTTTATTTGCCCAAGTCCCCCTTCAAAGAATCTGTACTGCCTCACAGATGTCATTATTTCTTCTGTAGTGATCCACAGTGCTGTGAGTATTACAGCCACGTCTTTACCTCCCATGATACCGTCCACCATCTCATGGCGCTTGTCTGAGGCGGGGTTACGCTCACAGAGGGCTTTTAAGACGTTTGCCTTTGACCCACAACATTGGCTGAGTCGTCTGGAGCGGTGTCGCAACCGATCATCATGGCTGCCGTCAGAGTGGCATATAGTGTTCAGCGATGAATCCTACTTCACTCTTGAAGGCCAGTGGTGTCTTCCAATAGCCTTTGTTTTACAAAAAGCATACAGCCATAACCCCTGGTGTGATAGTGTGGGATGCTATTTCTTATGACAGCAGGTCATCTTTAGTCATCCTCCGTACATCTTTAACAGGTCAACGACAGGTTGATACCATCCTGCAGCCGGTTGAATTACCCTTCATGGCACGTCATCCTGGGGCCATTTTCCAACACAAATAATGCCATGCCACTTACTGCTCGCATGTCTCTGAACTGTCTCCGTGCGGTTGATACTCTACCTTGATCAGCAAGGTCACCAGACCTTTCACCAATCGAGCATGTCTGAAACAGGGTAGGCCGGCAGATTCGGGCACCCCAAAATATCGCAGATCTGGAGCGACAACTAATGAATGCCTGACAGAATATGTCGCAGGCTGACATTAGAAACCTCTACCACTCCTTGCCTCTACGAATTCAAGCATGGGTTGTTGCCAGGGGTGGTTCGAGCAACTACTAATTTGAACACTCAGTGTGTGATTGTGAGTCGTGAACAGGTACTATGATTTTTTAATCCTTTTATTATCTGTGTATGAGCTATACACATATTCAATTTCATCAAACCCAACCACTTCCTTCATGGTGCTTGAATTTTTTTTGCAAACGAGTGTATATACATATTAATAATATTAATAAAATCGTCAAAAAATTCCCAGATCTCGGAATTAAGAATTTTCTGTAGAAACTGATCTTAATATTGCCAAATTTAGAACCGTTTAATAAAAGAATTCATATCTCCAAAAGCAAAAAGTTGTTTAAGAGCTCTTCATTAGGAAAAATGAAATAATTTCGAAATGCAAATGTTTCACTTCTTGCTCAGAAACTTGAGTATTCCACCATTTATAGGAACAAATTATATCACATGAACTTATTCCAGCCATTCAAAAGATAACCATATTTCTTATGAATTTAGAGAGACATTTAATAGCTCCAAATGAAGCTATTAAATGATATATCATTAATACATCAAATTAGCAGAAATTTTGTTTTCATTACATTGATAAAATAATGTTTGGGAATAAGATGCAATACAATGAATGATAAAATTTTAATTTAAATATGTTTTGTACATTAAATATTAAATTTAAGCCATGTAACACATAATTGCATACAAGTTATCTTCCAAAGTGGCAGCAACATTTATACAGGCAATCATGACATAGTAATCTTACATACCTTTTTATCAACCTGCTCTCAAAATTATTTTACTCTATTTTTAAAATACATACCCCACAAAAATAATTTCTGAAAATCATTCAATAAAATATCAAAATATTTCACAGAACAAAATGATAAATGTGAAGAGAATTCAATATACATTATCTGATAAAAATGGTTAAGTCAATTAAAACGTTAATGAATAACAAATGCATTTCTCAGAAAGCATAAATAAAGAAAAAAATGTAATTCTAATTATACAATATATGAAAAGAACTAAGTATTAATAATCATAAAGAAACTGTATAATTTAAAATTAAAAGCTTACCAATAGTTGATCCAGATTTATTAACAGAAGATATTATAACAAAACCAAAGCCTTCATTTGCATTTCTAGTCACTGTTACATCATAAGGAACTAATGTTTCAATATGCTTAGAATTACTGGAACTTTCTAAAATAAATAAATAAAAGGTAATGTCATATTAAAAAGCTAAAACCGATTATAATCATTATGTAATTAATTATAAGAATATTTCTAAATATACCTGTTGAAAGCACAGGTCTTCGGAGATGCAAAGTAACTTTGCCATTTTCAGCAGCTGTACTCATTAACTGCACAACATGATGATGAGATGTGTTCACAACATGCTGACCATCAACTCCTAAAATTTCATCACCGGATTTTAAATTGCCATCTAAATCTGCAGCACCTCCAGGAACAATATGTCCTATAGCAACCTAAATAAAAATATTCAGATATTTATGTAAGATAAAAACTCAGCCTGTTGCATTAGGGCAGATAAAATCATTTTCACAATTAACTGAATAAGACAACATAATACTTGTAAAACTGGAGCAACATACATAAATAATAATTTACAACTGAATTGGTAGTTGTTACAGATCAATAAATGAATCAACATTCCTGATGTTTTTCTAGCGAATTCCATAGAAAGATTCTTCAAATGCAGTACCTGTAAGAGTGGCGTACGTGAGCAAAAAATATTTCAGTCCACGCTACAAAAAATTATCATTACTTTTTAGATCAGGAAGAGATTTCAGATTCACAAATTTTGTCAAGGATTTGCAAATAATATGGAGGAAACTATCTATCACAAACCCAGGTTTCTGAATAACACACAGTCTCTCTGGGTGGGAGAAGAATAATTAAAATTAACTGCATATCAGATGTCCATGAAATTCTAAGTCACCCCCCCCAAAAAAAAAAACTGGAAATCACTCAGTAACTGAACGTTGTTGCTGGTAATAATACAAAATTGCAGAAAAAAAACTTGAGCTATCACAACATTAATGCTATGAATCTTTGGATTCTTTGCTCACTGAATTAGAACAATACATTAAATGCAATTAGATGGCCAAATGTACTTCACTTCCAAGATTCATAAGATTCCTTTAAATTTGTATTCACTTAAATAAAATAAGGTTGCATTACTTCATGCCTGAATTTCATGCATGAATGTTATAATTAAAGCAAATAAACAACAGTGATATACTGGCTCTCCACAACCGACAAAACTCCACAAATTCCATTTTATTGATAAAATTCTGATGACAGTCTTTTAGAACTGAAAATAAATCACTCATTTTGATTCTCCATACCAATATAGAATAATCAAGCTCATTACTACTTCCATTTATAATGTGGACTAAAGAAGCAAATACTGAAGAAATGCAGGATTCTTCTTAAATCCATGTCTTTCAGAACCCTAGTACACTGACAAGCAAGTTATTGCTCCAGTCTAAATTCAAAAGTTTTATGCAAGTTAAAATAACATTTTTATTTACTCTACAAATTCAACAGAAGGGACTACTTGTACTATGACAAAACTCTGCCTCTTGTAGGTATTTAAAATAACATAAACTAGAACTCAAATTTAAGTAATGTAGTTTGAGACTACACAGAAAATAGTCTACTTAGGCTAGATTAAAGTCAGCTAACGAAATGGATAAAGTCAGAATAAACTTTGGCAGAGCCGATGATAGGACATGAACTGCAAGCAAGGCAAATAGATGTTATAACTCTAAAACATTCAAACCTTCAGCTTAAATACTCTACAGCTAATTTGTATTCTTGTGATGAAAAAACAAGAATCAAGTTACAGTAATGTAAAGTTTCAAATCATAACTGGTATATTAACATAAAATCCTACAGGCAAAATGGGAGAAACATAGAGATCAATGTTTCTTTCTCCACAATAATATTAGATCAAACACAGTGCATAGAATACATTATGCAGCTCAGGTGGAATATGCTGCCACTGCCCTTTTAAGTTCAGATTTAAAACCTTTGTCACTGCCACCTGTTTGCAAAGTTGAAACATGTCCTAGTGGAATGTTATTTTGAGGACAACAAAAGCATTATCACAGCTGTTTAAGAGCAGATATACAGCCAATTCAACCCTTTTAAAGAATATATATCAAATTTTCGAGAATATTCAGAAAAACATATTGTAACAAAGATGATTTATTTTGAATAAAGGCATACTCTGCAGGTATTTAACCATTCACTTCTTCAACCAGTCTACCTATCTGGGTCATTTGTGAATATTCTTACCAAGAAATTTTAACTGTAGCATAATATTATCTGAATCAATGCTCTTTTTTTTATACTTTCTAAATGTTGATTTTAATAAGAAACTGACAGAAAGTAATTCTTGATGGGAGAAAGAAATAAACAATTTCTAGTTGCTTTTTTGTCCTACAAGTTATAAGTTTTATTATTTAAACAGTTCCCTTTTTTGACATACCTCTCTTAAATATATGCTATTTCTTGCTTGGAATATTATCAATAATGCAAATTCTGCCTATAAACCATGTCTACAGATACTTTTTAGCTATAGATATGCAGTTAAATGCTAAATGTTATTTATTTCAACACTACTGATGTGGCTTTTATAAAGATTTAATGTATCTCAAACTGGAAGCTAATGTATATACCACTATGCATTATGAGTGGCTATAAAACTTTCATGATGAATATTTTAACAAACACTGAAAGTTATGAATTTAGTATCTGAACAAAAAAATATATATTCAGATATAATTATTATTGTTATTATTTAAATACAGGGTGGTTATACAGGGTTCGTACGCATTTCTCCATGTGGAAATTAACAGGGTTGCCACTTAAAGAAGAGAATGAAATTCCCTGACTTTTCCAGGTGTGTTTTCAGAAAATTCTATTCTATCCGCATAGTGTGCGATGGCTGCACTGAGAGATAAAATTAATTATGGTACCACTTGAAAAACACAAAAATTTTCCAATGGCATAGGACTTATTTTATATATAATCCTGAAAGCATTACTATTATAGCTATAATAGGAGTTGTTTTCTCCACTGAAGATTGAGATTAGAATCTGCCCAATCTGGATTAAAAAATGAGTTTTTTTGCAGACATTTTGCAGCTAAATGAAAGAAAGAAATCTATTTAATGATATTTTTAAATAAATTCAGGTATTTTATATTTATTTAGCAGCATACATAAACAAAAATATGTGCATTAAATTTCGGGATAGTATGTCACCACACTGCTAGATTTAGATTCAGAATTATGCCAGAGAAGTTTGCCTGAAATCTGAAAGTATTATTAACTAATAATAAATAAATTTAGAGGAAAGAACATTAAATGACATAAATAACATTAAAATGAAGTTAATTACTTAAAAATTGAATTACAATAATTAATGCTATTTTGGCAAATATTAACGTTAGCCTAGATGACTGATTACTATTTTTTATTTATTTATTTTACTGCAAAATGAAAAATAAGGCATTTATTAAAATGAAAAAAAAAAAAAAAGTTAAAAAGATTTTGCCGTAAAATCCTAGTCTTCGCTACGGCCTTTGTACAATTTTGAAAACTGCCGCCAACACCAAAATGACTGGTTTACTACCCAACACCTTCTTAACCAGAGACTAAAAGACAGAAAGAGGTAACTGTTGTTACTGCTTATCATAATGTCGCCAAATCCCATGTGTACCGTACATGGAGGTTAGAATAAACAAAAATATGTACTGTTAAGATAAAAAAACTTCTCTGCAACAGGAATGGCTCCGTCCCAACATAGAGGGAAACAGCTACATATGTGTGAAATATCTGTTGCTGAAGTTCGAAGGTTAAGTTTATCAAGAGTACATAAAACGAATATTGTTTTAAATTTCCTTAAACTTTAAAAGAAAAGAAAATATTTTTTTCACGAGTAAATTAATTAATAGATTAGCTATTTTGAGCAAAAAATGTACGAAAATCCAAGTATAAATTATTGCAAAAGTCAAAGAACATTTCTTCTTAAACATATGCTCTACAATTTCCTGCACACATCGCGGAGGGGGAAATTCTCGCCGTCAGGTTCTGTCACCAAATCCCTTAGTAAGTTTTTCCCTCCGCTTTCTAGCACTATAGCAAACTGATTTATATTACATATGAAAACCTTTCTTTCTTTACATAGACATTCTTACATTAGAACAGAGTACATGCGGGCTATTCTAGCCTCCATGCTAAGAGCTGCTTCGTAAACTGTGCTTTATAGCATTTATTACCTTATTTATTTTTCAGATTCAAAGTATTGTACAATAAGTCGCCAAAATGGAAGTTATGTCATTTTATAATATGCAGCAAAAAATAAAAATGTTTTATTTTAATGTTATTTTTACATATAATTTCAATATATTACCATTACTTTAATGATTTTCAATGTTATAATGTTTAAAAAAAATCTCCAAAAAATTCCCAGATCCTAAAATTAAAATTTTTTTACAGAAACTGATCTTAAAATCGCTGAAATGCTGATAATTTGCCAAATTTAGAACCTTTTAATAAAAGAACTAACATCCCCAAAAGCGAAAAGTTATTTAAGAGCTCTTCATTGAAATAATTCCGAAATGCTAAGTTTCACTTCTTACCCAGAAATTCGAGTATCCAACCTTTACATTAAGAACAAATTATAACTCATGAACCCATACATAAGATAACCATTTTTGTCAGTGCTAAAAATATTCCTCCAAAATGCTAATTCACACTCAAAATGGCAGTCGTAAAAACAGACAAAAACTTCAAGTGATTAAAATTAAGGACCTTCCACCAATTTTGGTTGAAATTAAGGACTTTTAAGGATGGAAAATCAATTCAAAAAACCTAAGGACTTTTAAGGACTCTTAAGGACCATACAAACCCTATTATAATTAAAGTAACCTACTCAAACTTATGTAGAGCCTGTTTTGGTTGATGTACTTTGTTGAAATTTCATATACATATCATATCAACCAGGGGAAAAGAAAACAGCAATAAAAAAGCACAGTTCAAATTCTGACCATAAGATAGCCCTTTCCATGCAATGAAGAAAGAATGTTATGCAAATTACAAACTCTTTAAAAGGCAGGAGTCAATGCCATAAAATCATTCTTCACTATATCTTTAGAGAAGATAAATCAAGTTTTGCTGAGTTCTATTTATTCAATTGATAAATATAAACATAAATTAAAAACATTTTTTTAAAACCTTATGTGGCCAGAAAAATTGCAAAACCTCATAAAACGCAAACAGAATTTTTCTTTACCTGTTTCTGTTTTGTAAAACACGTTCAAAACAATTTTAATACATTAATTCATTATAATATTGTTGCGTGTGTACAGGTTTGTAATAGATTGATAATACTTCGTAGATGATGGTCATTGCACTCAAATCCGATGATAGCATAATTAAATTTATTTTATCAACATAAACACTTCAAAGTTCTGGAATTTTTCCACAGAAATACTTCGTACAAGTTTAGAATATCACTAAGTATAATCAGTAGTTATGCTTCAATCTAATAAGAATGTTAAACACAACGGAATGCAAAACGCATCTTAAGAGAAAGTTAATAAAAGAAATATCTCCAATCTCGCGCTGAACTAACAACTGGCAACAATAACAACTTATATAGCATAAATAATGTCATAAAAATAGTGTGGTATAATGAGATTATTACTTTGAAACCGATGTTTCGAATTGATGCCCAAGAAGAACCAATATTTCCCATTCTGCTTCATTGCATATCTTTCAAAAAAGTAAAAAAATCATCCAATTAATTTCCTTATCATTTTTTTAAATGCGAAAAAGTTGTTTTATAAGCTGTGAAATGACGGAATTTGTAGCCAATATATTTTAGATATGAAATTTTAAAACTAATGGGCGTCAAAAAGTCTAAAAATATGAACGATTTTCAAAAATTCTCCCAAAATATTTTTTTAAAAAATTACACTAAAAATTTCATTTAATTTTTTTTTTCCTCCACAGTGTGTTATTGTGCAAACTGTAATATTCTGAGATTCTCAGTTTATTTGTTAATATTTGCAGAATTGTACAATTAAAGTCATTTCACCTTTAAATTTGAAAAAAATCTAATCCTCTAAAAATCAAAAGCGTGACACCACATCCACAAGCAGTGTATGTACAAAGTTTGAGTTCTATATCTTATCGGAAAGCAGTTTAAAAATCCATGACCATCTTTTAACCATAGCAACAAGCACCAAGAGTGAACTAAATAACAGCTTATAAAATAATAATAATAATTAAAAAGCATATATTTTTCAGGAACCATTACGAAATTTCAGGTACCAGTTGCGAAAGTACAGATTACAAAATTAACAACAGTAAACAGCGTTAAAAATGTGTAAATAGTATTAGAAATCTGCCAATTCGGAGACGTGATTGTTCACAGAGGCTTAGGTGTAAAGAGGAAGGAAGACGGTGGTCTTCTGAACGGGTCCTAAAGACGAAACTCTTTCATGTCACTTTTTTCTCCCCTTGCTAACGGCAGCTGTGCGAAGGAGCGTTGCATGTGAACGGGGCTTTTGTGCTCAGACAAGGTATACTGTGCCCTAGACATAGCAGTGAATATAGAATCATCATATACAAGGTACTGCAAATCCAAACATAGTACACGAATAGCTTCTGCATTCTAATTATGTGAGAGCATCATGAGTTGACTGCCCTTTTTCTTTTCTTTGAGACTACTATAAAAGATGTACCATCACGAATGCCTATTACTGTGAACTTATGCAGCAGCAAAATATTACAACCTTACAATATTTAGAAGGCACTGTCTTCATTCAGGACAGTACAATACCCCCTCCTACAAGTGAGAAGAACTGCTTTCAGAAAATCAAAAAATCGCAACGACAGATGGTACACATCGCAAATTTATTACATTTCCTTGAGGAAATAATGGAAGGAAAGTCAACTGTGTGCGATTTTTGAAACCTACACGAGTATTTCACCTTTCTAACAGACATAACAAAAGATGATTATTTCTAAAACTATTTCTCCGAAGGCACATGTACTCACACAACTCAGGACAAGATGTACGAAATAACTAAAGAACATACAACTAACAGCTTTGAGTTTGCTTTGTGCTCATTGGCCGATATATGCCAGATGACACGCAGTGGAGCTCGATGCCCATTGGAGAACTGGAGAACGACGTTTCTGGATATGTATGCTCTCACTCACAAAGCAGAAATTCTCATCTGATTCACAAGGTTTTGTTTTAAATATAATCTAGATAAAATTCAATTGCTTTCAGACGTTCAAAATCACTTTTTTTTTTTTTTTTTTTTTTTTTTTTGTTCATATAACGAAGTATTAAGCCAAGTTCCATAAAAATCGTGAGAAATTTTAAGAATAAGAAAAAGTCAGGAGAAATATATTGTAAATCAGGTTGGCGGGAGATTGGTTGAAAATCGGGAGTCTCCCGCCTTAATCAGGAGAGTTGGCAACTCTGGCTTAGCCTCCTCATACTACAGACCAGAATCTCTGTAATTTTCGATTGCAGGTATATAAGAAAGATCCCATCTGTGGAGAAAACAGGCTCTGCCTAAATTTAAAGCAACAAAAACATGCTATGTTGCTGAAATTCCTCAAGAAACTATTTGTGTTACTGTTCAAACATACTACAATGTATTTTCAACAGTAACACAAATAGTTTCACTGAACAAATGTGATTAAATACATTTTACTGTTTCCAGTTTATGTCTTGTGTTCCTGTACCACCTTTTCACCATGTGCTGAAAATTTTAATTATTTTTTATTGCAGTTTTATTTTCTCCAGGATCCAAATAGCATGTATACCAAGTTTCAACAAAATATAGTTGCGTGCATAAGGGTGAATGCCCAAGTTCAATAACAGATTGATAAAAATTAATTTCTATCCAGAGAAATATTTCAGAACTCTGGAATTTTACACATGTTCACAGTATCACATAGTATAATCAGTAGTTATACTACAAACTACTAAGAATGTTAAAAGACAATGCGATGCGAAGTGCATCTAAAGAGAAAGCTAATCCAATCTCACGCTGAACTTGCAACAATAACTGCATCAGCTAACTAAACAACTGAGAGCTCATGCTCTCTCTTTGGCCTTAAATAGTTTTCAAGCAGCCACGAGATATTTTTAGCACTTTCTGCTTCCCGAAATTGCTGGAAAGTAATATGAGCGTGGAATTACGGTTACAGCTATTACATCTGGTCAATTATATTTATTCAATTTCAATACAAATTACTAAAATATCCATTTACTCAATGCTAAATGTGCGTGCCCCTATATTCTTACTTTTCCAGCATAGCTTTTTCTTAAAATCTGTCTTGAGTTACATTACACAGAAAAATTCAATGATTTAAATTACAATTCTACTAAAATTACCTATCTAAATACAAAATTCGTAGCAATATGTCAACCAGAACAGGCTATATATAGGTCTCAGTAAGGTCACTGTAATTATAACCATCCTGTATAATTTGTTTTAATTTTTAAACTTTCTCATACACACCTGAAAGTGGTAAACTCTAAAAATTATGTAGAGAGTTTAATTTAAAAAAATAATCTTTCTCATACAAATCTAAAAATGGTAAACAATCTTTCTCATACAAACCTAAAAATGGTAAACTCTACACGCAATGAAAGGGGAAAAAATTACAATACTAAGAAATTAGAAACAAAGTAATATATATCAAAATAAATAATTAATAGAATTTAGTGAAATTATTTCTCACCTGAGAACCTTCTTCAGTTCCTCCAACAATTCGAAACCCAAATCCACTTTCTTGCCGTTGGAGTGCTACAGTCATATCTACATAGTTTACAGCTCCATTTTTACCTTCCTGAGCTTTTGGAACAGAAGACTGAGACATATTTCTTAAATCACTACTAAGGTATGGCACGGGTTGCTCATGTTCAAATGATGTTCCGTGCTTTCGATGCATAGATAAATCCAATTTTGTGGTTGGACTTAAAGGCACAGAACGTGGATAATGATTTTGCATGTTACGACTGTATATATTTTCATTATACTGTGAAACCTCTTGATGAGATGATGCATAAATGCTATCCATATTTGTATTAGGGATGTGCTGCAAATGATACGTTGGTACATGTGATTTATAAAATTGCTGGCCATAAACAAAATTATTACTCGCATTAGCAAATTTTTCATCATTTATATTATATAACGAGCTGTCAAATGTCCCACTAGAACTATTCCCATTTGCTACAGAAGCAGGTTGAAACATAGAATTATTGGCATTAGAATCATGTCTATGAACATCCCTCCAGGGTTCTGAGTTATTAAAATGGAATTTATTTTCTACTGGGAATCGTTTCATGGGATCAAGAGAATTTCTTGGCACTTGTCCTGATGTGAAATTCTGATGAGCATTATCAGGAACAGAACTGTTCACAAACACTTTGTTGAAAGTATCTTCTGCATTTTCTTTTATATGAGAAGAATCCCTGTAATTATGATTATGCCAGTCCCTTCCTCTTCCTTGATCAGAATACCAAGATGGATTGCCATGTCGCTCTGGACTACATTCCAGCAAGTCATTTGAATGATTATAGTCTCCTGGTCGATGATTATAAACAGTACTGCCCAAGTTTGAAGAAGGTTCCTGGAGAAGTTTTTGATTCATATTATTGCTCTGAAAATCTGAAGAAGGTACAGGCCAATTTCGTGTATCTACTAAAGGCGTTTTAGGTCTTGCAATCATTAGTAGCTCTTTATCTCTTGAACTGTATAATTCAGCAGTAGGTGTTTTACTGCGATATGAACCATTAGCTTTCCCATCTGATAGAAGAACAAAATTTTGCATGAAGAAATAAAATCAAATTACTAAAAATTTATTACAGTGCTATAAAAATTATCAATATACAAACTGAACTTACTACATCCATAGTTTCATATTTTTTTATAATATTCCCAGCTTAATTCTAAATTTAAAAATGGGAAAAAGTACTTACCTATTATCCAGTCAACTGTGATGTTTGGCTACCATGGAACCATGAGTAGATCCCGTTAAAGCTGTGGTAGTCGTTATTGCATAATTCTGAGCTACATTTCTATCTGCAATTCTTATGATAAAATACTCATCAACTACTGCACAATCCACCAAATAGCTACTGCTATACAGGCATTCAGCCCACTTCCTTTTCATGCTTCTCAGAAAGGCTTTTGTCAATTTTTACTATTTTGTTAGGCCCTCTGATTTAACTGGAAGCTCAGTTTAGAACACTACAAGTGCAAATGCACGTGATTGTTCCAACCTATTGCTATTTTGTTGGCCCATGTAACAGATTATTTCTCTTGATCAGTTGTAATTGAACTGGAGTGCAGTCACAATATGATTCTGCAGCTCTTGAACACGAATATTTAAGAAAAAAATACAGCAACAGCATTAATTTATATCATGCAGAATGAATTGGAGTTCATAGAAGAATCAATGAAAAATTCAATGAAGAATCAATTGGGGTTACATCAAAGGAAATATCGTAAATGTGTTGTGACACGTGTATCCAATATTTGGCTCTAAATTGTGCTGCTGGGTGACAATTTCACAGTTGACAAGATAATATACAAGTACCAAAAGAATATATATCTGGTTGGTTACTTCATTATTTACATAAGTACAGTCATCAAGTCATAGATCTCAGCTTAAAAGAAGGAATACCTACAGGAAACTGACTCTTTTATGTTACACATGAAAAACCCTGAAAATCCCATGAACCCAGCCCATTCAATTTCCAAAAACCAAATCACAGAAGTGGGATTGACTATCAGCATTTCACAACTTAAGCCATTATTATGCTATATATTAAAGTGTAATAAAATTACCCTTTGCACTTCAGAGGCAACTCTCAGTCACCAATCAATGCATTTATTTCAGTGTGCTGAGAGTCGCTTCTCAAGTACAAAGAATTAAGAACAATATTCTAAAATTTTCCCAATGAGTTAATATTTTAAATATTAAATTCTACAAACTAGCTGAAAACATTTTTCTTACATATATTAAAAGATAATTTCTGACTAGTTCACAATTTTAATTCGAACATTATAGAAGCATGCACCTTTTATTTTAAATTCATTAGCATCATTTGAAATTTGTTCTTAAATTATTTCTGATAAAACATTCCAGTATGAAAAAAAAAACAACAAAGCCTAACTTTCTAACAGAATTGTATGGTATATAGCAGACATGACCAAACTGCGACTCTCTGATACCTTAACTGCGGCGGCTTACGAGCTACTTAGGATCCTTTGCCATCTGATATGTGACTTATTTTGATTAAATATAGTTAACTTTCTTAATGCAAATGGAATTTAAAATAGAAATCATGCAGTGCCATGTTTCTTTATTAATCGTTAATTTAATTTCTAATATTACGTATGAAAAAATTTTAGTAGATTTCAAGCTGTCCACTGCTGGCTTATCATCAGAGCAACAAATATGTAAAATTACAAATAATTCCATTTTTGGTAAATATTTTTCAGGTTATGTTACTTTTTGAACAGATAATGGTCATCGGAATATACTAATCTAAAACTCAATGCTAATATTTTTATTTAATTATTCTCTCTAATATTTTTTCTCTCATATTAATTTTACATCAGACAGTATCTGCTTACATTCCAGTGTGGTCCCATTGTTAACAATAGTTCAGATTCACCTGGAAGATTCGCTATTCGTTGTAGGTTACTACTTTTATTCAGTCCTTGAAAGGCATGAGTAACTGCTGTAGAAACCTGTTTCACCTTGAATCCATATAGATCTCTTTTAATCCATACAAGAATTTTAAGAGGATTTAATTTTGGTGGAGTGAACCTTCAGCCCCTTACTTGGTTAGGAGAATTATCTCAAATTTCTGTGGAACTCCTTCATCCTATCCCTAAGCAAATCAGGCATTTTTATGCAATTGTTTCACAAATATTCACAATAATATGCTTAATGAACACTTTTGCCACACGAAACTCCATCTTTTGTAATTCCTTGATAATCCTAGGCAGAGATGATAACTTATTTCACTAATAGTTGTGTGTGCTGATATATTTGAATAAATCGCAGGAAAAATCACTGGTTTGACAACAATTTAAATTTTAGTCAAAAAGTTTATTCCCATTTTATCATATATTGTTATTCCAGATAGACATCTTTCAGCTTAATCATCAAATCTTCATATCAATAACGTTACATCAAGCAATGAGGCATCAACAGAACACAAACCTCTCTCTTTTCCAAAGCTTCTCTGAAAATCAGCATTTGATATAGGTGAAATCTCTTTAACTTGTGACAGTTTAATCTTTTGATTTCTTGTTTAATTACCTTCTTTCTTTCTAGCTTAGAGGCATTTTGCTGAACTAGGTTAGAGTCACCAGTAAATATCGCACCAGGTTAGAGGCAATTTGGTGCCCGGGACATCTAAAATTTTTCACCCCTTAGTACTGCCATTCTGCAGTTGCAGTGGTTGCCCCAGCTCTGATGCCAAATCCGGGCTTCTAGGTGCCCCTGTTCAGGTTGAAGACTACGTTATTCAAAATTTGATGATTCTAAGTACCGATGTTCTTTTAACAATGGGAGAAACGTACATACATTCATGTAAATAATCTATGGATATTTTTTTGTCTTCCAAATTTTCGATCATCATGTACATCTGACACGCCCTTCGTGACAGCTTAGTAGCCAAACAAAAGTTATACAACGATTCACTGCTTATCGTTGTACAAATTTCGGGAAATAATAAGAAATTTTGCTACCGTAAACGTTTATTTTTAGTCTGATCTTTTAGGTTCTAAAGTATCCTCTGCCTACAGATTCCATTTGAGGTTTATTTTCTGTACGCAGGTTAGGTAACCCAATGAAAAGTCGTACTACGTAACCTTTAGGCTGATAATCATTTGTTTTAAAATTTCTGCTGAGTTATTTTACTTAGAAATTCAAGACAAGATGCTAAGTCATTCGACTACCTTTATGGGTCCAGCAGTTATAATATGGTGGATCAGTTCACATAATGACAAGTGCTTAGGAACTAAACTATTGCACAGATGCCTGCTGTGCTACAAAAGGCTTCCACATCGAACACATCCAAATAAATATGAAAAGTTACACATTCATGTATTTGAGAAATAAATTCATTATATTAGTAAAAGGTAAGTTTTCTTTCTGTAACATTAGTTTTTATTTGCAGCGTATTTGAAAAACAGCTCAAAATAAAACAGCTAGGTTGAGGAGTTTGGCTGGTAGATGTATGGAATATGAGCTTGACAAAGTGTTTATTTAGTCCAGCATAAACTACTAAATTTATTGTCAATAGGTTATGTATATCCAGAATAATTCTAATGATTAAAGAGGTGGTTTCGAAAATTTTCAATGATGCGCATGAACTTTGTTATCTACGTTCAAAATAATCATGACAATTTGAGAGATAGTTTCAAGAATTTTCAACGATGCTCATGAACTTCATTATCTATTCCAAAATTATCGGGACAATTGGAGAGATAGTTTCAAAAATTTTCAATGATGCGCATGAACTTCGTTATCTACATTCAAAATAATCAGGACAATTCGAGAGATAGTTTTAAGAATTTTCAATGCATAAACTTCATTATCTATGTCCAAAATTATTGAGACAATTTGAGAGATAGCTTCGAAAATTTTCAATGATGTGCAGTGTACTGATTACTAAAAAATTCTGCCTAATTCCGTTAAATTCCACGCTGAAATACTGTACCAGTCAGGGCCGTCACGAGAGATACTGATTATTAAAATACTATTAAAATTGCAATAGTTTTTTATATATATAATTCTTCTACACTGGGCATCACAAAAAGTAGTTATTAGAATGTTTTGGGAAAATATTTTTAACAATTTCTTAGGTTAGGATCCAGATTCGAATGATCTCAGTATGTTGGACCTTAAGTTAATTGAAGAAACAAAACTACTTTTAAGCAAAAACCTAAACAAGTTAATAGCCTGTTTTTAAATAAATATTCTTTCTCGAATAACAGTTCCTCTGTAGTGCGCGTTGACATGTATCATTTAATTAATCCTAAATGCTCATGAATTAAAAAAAATTTTAAAAACACTCAATTTTCTTTTCACTAATGATTTGTAATTTACTCAAATAACATTGTTTATGTATTTGTAGACCAATGAGAATATGCTTTCAATTCATTTTACTTCTACTAAAATAAAAGAATAATTATAAACTGAGAGGTATGAAGGAAATCAGAAAAAAATATTTAGTTTCTCTACCTGAAGAAAAAATACTCAGTTGCCCAGTACAAGAGTTACAAATTCTTCCTTTCTTAGGGCTTAACTTTTCTAAACACAAAATGGTAGATATAAGATGTATTTATTCATATTTATATATAATCATGTTAATCACAGCATTAATTCAAAATTTCCTTTATATTCAAAATCTGTCTTATTATTTTTGAAACGATATAAATTTGGACTTGCAGCTCTGGAACGTTCATAAAATCTATAACGCTGTTCCCATCGTCTTGAAGTTTGGCCGTCCCTGGTATATAGAGTACTCAAAAATGGTGGCTGCATATTTTGCTTTTTTAAACAATGAATTTTATACATGTATTTTCAATTGCATGCTTCTCAAAAATAATGCAGATAATTTTATAACTGTTTCAGCACTATAGAATAGTATTTAAAACACACAATTTAATTTTTTATTCGATCCCCATGGAGTATGTCTATTAGTAAAATGCCACAGTGCATTTTAAATTAAATTAAAAAAAAACATTTCTGTACAAAATTCATCAACATGAGCAATTAATAATTTCTTAGAATAACTAACAAAATTAGGACTGTTCATTAACCCTCTGAGCACCATGACTGGCTTTTATCTGGTCATCAGACTTTTTGTCACATGACATATATTAGCTTACAATTTAAGATATTTTGCTTTCTTACTTTTTTTTAATAATATAAATATCATCTTAATGAATGTAAGTTTAAGAAAATAGAGACTAAAATAAGCAATTACACAAATTTAGTTAATAAATGCTAATTATATGCAAATCTTCATGATAGATCTAAAATCTCGTGCTGCTTGGAGGGTTAATTAACAAAATTTTTGCTAACATTCTCTGTTTTATAGTTGCTCCCAGAGATTAAGGAACGCTTTAAGAAATATTCAATTTCAGTTGAAAATATGAGGTGAAAAGCGAGGCAAATCAGCAAATTTTTGTCATCCCTTCATAAATTTTACATGAAAAGATAACTTTTTGTATTAATACTTTTCTACCACCTTGTATATACCAAGGTCATTAGACAGACAAGGTTATGCTCTTTCAAGATCAAACCTTCTTCTTTCCAATGCTCAAGACAGTGACGCAGTTATCCATCTGCTTAATGATTTCACTTCACTCATAAAAGTGGGAGAAACCACGTTTTAGAGCAGCCTGTCAATGTCACCATATTGATTGAACTTGGCTCAGGATGAGCAAAAGTTCTGCAATATCTGTGACTTCTAAACATTATGTGATCAATTAAAATGCATTGATGTTCCTTATGCAGAAAGTACATTTTAGCAACATTTATAACTGTTATGACAGTTTTCAATTTAGTCATTCAAGAGCAGGTCAACAAAATTTTAAAAGCACTGGTATCCTAACGGACACAGCAAAGAGCAGAAATAAAAAACAGAATTAAAAAACATAAAAACTTACTCATTCTTGAATGTCCATTACTAAAAGATGGTGAATGAAACATGGTACCAGTAGTATATTGATTGGCTTCCTCACTCAAACGTGTCTATAAGAAATGCAACATATGAGCAAGCAAGCATAAATTTCACTCTTACATTAAATACAATGTAAATAAGAAGGTAATATATAAATATCTGACAATGGTCAATTATATATCAAAGCACTCTATCAAACTTAAAGAATCACACTTAAAATACACATAAATGAATTTACCAGGTATTCTAAACACGATGTGGGCATATCTAAGAAAAAGAAACCTGTACAGTTCTCTTACACAAAATATTTCTGGCATTATTATAGTTTCTTTTTAATCATTTACACTGGCTAAATGAAAAGTTTTGAGACATTCTTATTCAGAATCATTATTCCGAATCCAAATAATGCTATGGATCCTGTACTTTTTAATTTTCCAAATTTGAAAATTTCATCCTAAATAAATTTTCCACAACACTTTACAAATGATTCAAAAATATGAACAGATTGCTTTGCTGTGGTTTCTTTAACACTACAGAAAATGCTTTTATTCCTTCATCTGACAAAAATCTCTTCCCGCATGATTGCCTTTTCTATTTTCCTTTTAAAATTGGAAGTGCCCAGAAATACACTACGTTCATGTTATACGCAGAGTATGAGTGAAGACAGATCAGTTTCAGACAGTGCTGCCAATGCCACAGCAGCAACATGCAGCTAAGCATTGTCCAGAAGCAAAACCATTATTTCAGTAAAGCTATTCCTTTCTTCCTCATAGTTCCATGCAAATGGTTTTCAAGGCATTTGAATATTTCAGTGTCTACTAATGGGTATGCAATGTTGACATCTACAATCACAGTGGATATCCTGCCAGAGCATGCTTTGTCATCACTCACATGTTAACTTGAACTGTCTCTAGCAATGAAATATAGAAGAATGGTTAAATGTTTAATCACCATACGCATACTGTATGATTTCAGAGTTTAGTTAAAATCTTACATATGCATATAGTTCATAAGTATTTCATTATAGCTTTTTTCAAATTTAAAAACCACATTTCTGCAATATTTCATAGACACCTTTCCTACCCCAAATAGCAAAATATACTAGGTACTTCTACTTGCTGTGACCAAATATCAAATACCGTGCGTGTCCAAATGCAGATTATAGCATGTTGATGCAGAGCTTTCACAAAATACTGGCATTCTAATATCAAGAAACCGAAACAAAAACAGTTTCAAAACTTTTCAATTAACCTTGCATGAACAGCCTTGACTTCATAATTACATATACACTGACAAGCAAAAAGATTACGACCATCTCCACGTGTTTCAATGAACTCTTCTGGATGATGTGGAGGGCACGAGATTAAGTGGGAATGGTATTTAACTGCTCTTGGAGAAGAATCACTTTTGTGAGTGATGAGAAAAGCTGCTGAACTATAAGCGAATTGGAGGGCAGATTGTAATTGCCCAAAGGCTCGGAACAAGTATCTCCGAACTTGCGAGACTTGTAGGTTTTTCATGACCTGCTGTTGTTAGTATTTACACAAAGTAAGTAAATGATGGTGAAACCAGCAGTAAATGCCAAAGTGTTGGACGTCTATGTGTCATCAAAGAAAAAGACATCGAAGACAGCCCCCTTGGCACAGCAAAATCAGACCGAACTGACAATCCAATGCAGTGCAGAGCCAATTGCAAGTGTTTTGGAATTCACAGTTCAGCAGACACAGTTGGATATGCGGCTGCATAGCCAATGTCCCACTCATATGCCTCTATTGACCAAAAGTAATTGTCAATTATGTCTACAGTGAGCCCGGGAACATCAAGATTGGACCATGGATAAGTGGAAAACAGTTGCCTGTTCAGAAGAATCATGATTTCTCATTCGTCATGTTGATGATCGTGTCAAGACAATGTCATTTGTCACAAGGCTCGAATTCTGTTGGAATGGTTAGAGGACCATAAGGATGAATTCCAATTAATGCCCTGATCACCTAACTTGTTGGAACTTAACCACATAGAGCACGTTTGGGATGTCATGGAGTGGCAGCTCCCAGCTCAAACACCACCATGTCAGAATATCTTGACTTTGTGTCACAGCTGCTTAGACATTTGGTACAACCTGTCTCCAGCTCCTGTCATCTATCAAGAACTTGTGGCATCCATTCCAAGGCAAGTTGCAGCTGTTTTGCGGGTCAAAGGTTGCACAACGTTTTATTGAGTAGGTGGTCACAATGTTTCGACTCTTCAGTGCATACGTATATAATGGATTGGGTAGCTGACTGTAATAAATTGCCAATGGCTTATTATGAAAATGTAACTCGACAAGCCTCTACCGTGTAGGCATTTGAAGGATGACATTTGAAGATAGAAATGACCTTAGATTCAGTCCATTTTTATTTCTTCATAAAGCAATTCTCTAGATGCATAATCTGATTCATAATATCATCCATGCAAAATGCACCCCACAATTCTGAAAGCTTAGCTCATCTTCAGACAATGGAAAATATAGAGAAATGAGTAGCATGTGTTAGCAATAGCAAAGGCAAAGTGGGAAAATGGGGGCTATGCATTCAGCGAAAGCACTGAGTCTAAATTTCAGTTCTCAAAGAAGTGATTAGCAGTGATTCTCGAAGAAGTGATTAACATTCCAGCATTGCTATGAGTTACTTAAGATGGCATGAAACAAATCAATTTTGAAAGGAAAAGTTATTAAAAAACATTACTGTTTTTAGAATAGACAGGGTAAATATATAAATTAAAATTAAGGGGCTATAGCTAATTATGTTATAACTTTACTTATTTCTTACCTTACATATATACCTTATATATCCATACTTGCCAACCTATGACACTCAAAAATCAGGAGATTTTTTTAAGAAATCAGGAGATTTTTCACAATTAAAGACTCTTAATGATAAAAATATAGTTTTTAATAATGAATTAACTTTAAATAGTAACTAATTCTTAAAGCAAGCAACAAAAAAATACCTTACACATAAAACATCTTTATCTTGCATCGTTAGAAAAAAAAAAAAAAAGAACCTTTAGTTTCGTACAAATTTATAACAGTGCAGATTGCTTCTTTAAGAAAGAACTTCATAATTTTTTCACAGCAATGCACGTAGGCCTGTTTCGCTAATAAAAGTTTTTCGAGTGCATCACTAATATTAGATCTAAATTTGTCCTCTTTTCACAACAACACTGAGAATCCTCTCACACTCGCATTACTACTATAGGGAACTGTCAAGATGTTAACACAATTCTAGACAGTTCATATATTTACAGTTATCACACCTTTCACTTTTTTATTAAACTCCACTGGGTGTCAATCCTAGCTGATTTTATAACTTCATCCAAGTTTTCTAATTGAAAATGCGTTAGCAGCTGTTACAATTAGAAAACTTGAATGAAGACTTGGATGGATTGTTTCAATCAATTTTTCCTTCCTTTTAGACTCCTTTCAAGATAATATAAATATCACGATGTGTTCATCCACATTTTGGGTAAGAGCTGCCCCTTTTCAGCTGCTAAAATTTAAGAGGTGACAGGTCACCTCATAATCTGAATTTTCCTTTTCTTAAGAGCCTGCACACCATCTTCCCAGCCTACCAATACTGGTGCATTATCGCACCAAGGGCAAGCAATTACCAGGGCCTGCATTTTCTTTTAAGTTTAATAATTATCTGTGCTATATTAAGCCTGTCAATGTCCTTCTAAAGTCGAACATAAAGTAAACTGCACTCATTTTAGACTCTGGATCAAAAAAAAGAAACAACAATTGGATACAGTTTGAATCGGTATTATTACTCCATCCATAGAGAGGCAGAAAGGAGCTTTTAATGCTATCAATACTGAAGATTGTATTTTCAAACCCATTTCTTTAACATTGATCCTGTTTTGATTCTTGCACCTTGAGTATTTTTTAGCGATTTCACTACGGGAAACATTTTTCTAAATAAGCTCCAGCGTGATCCGATGCATCAGTGGCAGGATGTGCTCCGTAAAATAAAAAAGCAAGAGAACAGACATTCTGCATGATAACTTTTTGGTCCTTTGTTTCCGAAGAAAAATTAATTTTCCGTTTTTTTAAAAACAATCATGTTATCCTTGTGTTTTTTGCGTACGTACATGCTTGAGAACAACCGCCCTTCCACCATGCGAAATCGAAAATCGCAACGACGGGCGGTACACATCGCAAATTTATTACATTTCTTTGAGGAAATAATGGAATGAAAGTCACTGTGTACGTTTTTGAAACGTACACGAGTATTTCACTTTCTCAGACGTAACAAAAGATGTTAATTTCTAAAACTATTTCCTAAGGCATGTACTCACACAACTCTGGTCAAAATGAAAGAAAAATAAAGCACGTCCAAATAACAACTTACTTTGTCCTCATTGGCTAATATATGCCAGCTGACACGCAGTGGAGCTCGAAGCCATTGGAGAACTGGAGAACGACGTTCTGGATACGTATAATGCTCTCACTCACAAAGCAGAAGCTATCTGATTAGCAAGGTTTGTTTTAGATATAAATGTAGATAATTCAATTACTTTCAGACATCCAAAAGCACTTTGTTTTTATCATATAACAAAGTATTAAGCCAAGTTGCATAAAAGTCGTGAGAAATTTTAAGAATAAGAAAAAGTCTGGAGAAATATATTGTAAATCGGGTTGGCGGGAGAGCGGTCGAAAATCGGGAGAGTTGGCAACTCTGTATATCTTAGATACATTCAGGTTAATTTGTACATTAAAGTGCATATCTTACATATATTTTTATTCATGGAACTATCTTACATATATTCTTATTTATGGCTGTGAATTGAACTAAATTAACCTATTATATCTTTCCTTATTCATTTCTACATTATATCAATAATGTAGACTTTAGTGGGTTGTCAAAATAATTATGGCCCAAAGACAGTAATTAGAAGTTTTGTTGGAAACTCCTCCCAAGCATGTAGTAAAAAACATAATTTTTGTTTCAGAAATTCATTATCGTGCACTTGAGTGTATAAATTAATTAGAACACAAAATGTAAAAGTGTAATTTTAATGCATCATACATTTA